GAAGGTTAATCGGAAAAATGACGCCTCAAGGGCGAATATGTAGATATGTTATATTGGGGTTTATTGCCGAAGGGAACGAAGGTAGATAGCATTCCCACGGTGCCAATAACACAGAGTACCGACGCATGTTAATGTTACCTAATGATATATCATGTCGAGTCAATTATTGAGTGTCTCCCGGGCCCCTCTTCCGACCAATGGAGTGCTAGGGATAACAATACATCACTTGAAGTGAAATGATACAACACACTTGGCTTATGCTAATGATGAATAATCATTGCTCGAAATATACTCTATCAGTTCTGTTAACGTAGTGTCAACATTGCTTCCTGGCAATAGGTCCAGCGTTCATTTCTACTCCCGTCTAAAAACCACGATGATAGCGACACGTTAGTTGTTTTCCCCTCCACAGTCTTACATATGTAAATTTCAGCCTGTATAGTCTGGAAATTATATAGATTGAAAAGATACTTGTTCCAAATATATATATTTTATATTATTATTGCGTTCTGGTCACATACTCAATCAACTTGTTCTAAACTGTGACAAATGTTTCAACTTCAACAAGCTCAAAATAAGGAAAACTAGATATTATTTGCGAATTGGTTATTATATTAATCCATTATTATGTAGTCATGGCGATTTACGAGTAGTACGTTTCTACATTGTATATTTTGTTTACAAACAACGGTTGACAACCAGTGACCAATCAAAAATATCGTATTTATGACATCACGAGTTGTGGGTGAATTTCGCTTTGTTCGCAACGTTGTCGACATCGTTATGCATTATAAATGCCACTTTCTGAACATAGTCACTGGCTCCCTTCTTCGTTGGTTGTCTAACAAATCGCCCAGAGACGATCAAATTCAGTCATTTGCAATTCTATGTTTCGGTGTTGATATTGTCTGAACAGAAGAAAATCGGTCATCAAATCGGTTGGCATGGCAATTTCGAATTATTGGCATTCAATCGCGTCCCGTCGTTGTGATGAAACAACATAAATATTGATAAACTGTTTGTAAAATGGGGTAAGTCTTTGTGGAAAGCACGGCAATGATATGCAAACCCATATATTGATATCGTTTGGACACACCCCGTGAGCACACCGACGCCACGTGTCACACTCGATTGAGTCAGTGACATCATATCCGGTTTCTGGAATCACGTCTCGGGAGAAAAAATACTTCCAGAGTAACAAACAGATAAAATACTCAGAGAGATATACTCCACCGAATCTAAAAATAAAACTGATGTATTCTATCTGTATGCTGAAAACTGTGCCAGAATAACATCAAGGCAGCTCTATTTCGTAAAGGTGGGACAGGTATACTCATTGCGGGCTTCTGATCGGAGGGCGCCCAATTCATATTAAGGCAATGTCTCGATTACACAAGTGCGTTGTAGGGGGTAAAAGGCGATCTCCGCTCTATTGAAGAAATCCTAAATAGTTTCGCGTGTTGGAGTCATAGGTCAAGATTTGTTTGCCTAGCGTTTGAGTGATACACTGGTATAGCGTGTTACTGACTACGAAACTGTTCTAATGGTATCATTTGATACACTGATATGGGTTTCGCATCACAATAACATGTGATTATCTTTATTGTTGCAACAACTTTTTGTAAGGAGCATCATGCTTGTATTTCAAATTGTTTTATTATGTTATATTCCAGAAATACCGAAGCATCAAATTTTATTGAACGGCAAACTGATTTTGAAATAAAACACTTCTTCAATGAGCACTCATTCCAGGTACCAATAACTTCAATGTTGCCAGAAGTTGACTTGTTGATTCTACTTCAATTTTAGGCTGACAATGAAATCTATATTGATTTGTAAAACTGGAGAAACCACGTATTTTAACATTTTATGAACTCGCTGACTCCGCTAAGCGTCAAATATTCATATCACGACTTTTCACAATCAGACCTCAGATGAATGGTGCGCAGTATACATTAGTATAAAACGGGAAACTCATCTTTGTAGGCATGGTAAGCAGACTAAACTGTGTAGGCCATACTGGACAACTGCTCCACGGACTAAACTGGAGAGCAGCCCAGACACTGGACGATTGTTCGCTGGATTCTGAATTTAGCGGAGAAAGGGGTACTAGTATACTTTTCGAAGTTCTCATTGCCGCGAAAAACCCTCAAACACGTCCTACCTATAAAGTCCCCCTCCCGAGAAGTCATATGAGCAGCCTAAACACTGGAGAAGTAATCCACAGACTAAACTTGGCAGGCCATGGAAGCAGCTCTAACGCGGGAGAAGTGATCCTCAGACTAAACTTTGCAGGTCATTGGAACATTGCGCGGAATATGGATATAAAATATCATTGTGATTACCGCATGATAAAACGCTGTATTTCACTAAAACGATACATCGTGACCTACGAACAATTAAGTTCTCGTCGTTGTAGTTATTAAAATCCAACACATTTTAGAACATCAAGAAGGCACGCAAACCTCCGCCACAGTTAATAATCTTATACACTATCAGTATATTAATATTTCTTGTGGCGAAACAACGATTGGACTTCGGCTGAAGATAAGACTTTTTTTTTATAAGATCGTAAAAATTCTCCCTTAACTTTTTGAGTCATTGCACACATTCCTATTTCTGTGGAAACGAGATTCAGATCTCTTCAAAACTATAACAGCTTGGCCCTTGTCTGACATAAAACATAAAAAATCGTCCGTAACCATGTGAGTAATCAATGATTTCTAAAATGTTTGCTTCCATGGCAACCAGGTGCAGATTTCTGTCCAAATCTAATCGTTTGATTCGTTTAATCTGGAAATGTCATGAAAATCCGACCAGAACTGTTTAAGTTGATGTTTTCTGTTTCCATGGCTACCTCAACCTGATCGCACCTGAAATAAAATTTATTAAGCCCCTCCTGAAAATTTCAGATAGAAAAAAAAACAAAAAAAACAACGCCGACAAAAAACATAACCTCTTTGACAGAGCAAGGTGAGCATGAAGATGTTTTGTTTTTGTATGTTATATATAGGTTTCTTTATTCCTAATATAACTGTATCGAAGATGCCTTCTAAGTCGACATGACGCGTCACTGACGTACGCTTACGTCACTGGCACATCGTTGACACAAAAGAAATCGTACATTATCGTATAGTGACTTTGAAAAACTTCTTACTATGGTAATGAAATTTGTAATTCGGTGATTCAGAAATGAAATTCATATTTTATAAACACAATCAGGGTAAAAGCGAAGAAAATCATGGGTCACAACATTTGTGTTCGTGCCTCGAGCCACCTATATTTTGAACAAGCTGACTTTTTTTCTTTGAGATTCCATTTGTACACGGGGTCTCTGCAAAATCAGTTCTGTTATAGGGCACTCTGATTGGATCGATATCAAAAAAAATGTTTTAGTTTTTTTTTTCATTCAAACCATTATACCTCAACGTTCACACCAAATCATAGTTGCAGACTTCCTGTCTATTGTTATCAATAGTTCAGCAAACTGGGGAACTGGTTGTGTCCCGCATTTACCCTTTTAGTTGTAATCACAGACGTATAAATTACCATTTGTTTTTGTCCGTATCAGTATTTCTTTAGTTAAAGCATGTTCAGTCAAACCCTCAGACGTAGTGTTAGTCAAGTTAGTATGATATGTGAGAAGCGTTTGTAAAATAATTGGAATAATCGGCTTATCCAAAAACTTTCCACAGATTGCCAACTATAAAGATAGATATAAAAGTATTACAAAAAAATTATTTTGTCTTCCTCATATTCTAGTATGCCAATGGGAACCATTAGTTTATGTACAGTGGTTTTCTTTTGAAAAGAAAATAATCCTACCACAGTGGTTATTAGAGAGAAAGAAAACGTAACATCATTGTGAAATTGACAAGGTTGCCTAGTAAATACGGGTTGACAAATATATTACATGCATCAACACTTATAATTGGTTTGTGCTTTCTCATAAAGCGTTAATGAAGGACCATGCATGTTTTATAATGGATCCTGACAATGGAGATCAGTTCTTTTCAAATCTTATTCGACATTACATAGATCCTAATCAGATAATGTTGAACCGTGATTTCGTCCACCAAAGGTCAAAATACACAAACAGAACTTATGCCACCAATAAACACTATAGATACTAGTAATATTGTGACCTGGTAGCCTGACATTTGGCTTTAAAAAATCAAGTATCGGGATTTAAGTTCTTGTTCAATGTACAGTGCATCTTCTTCTCAGCCGGAAATGACGCGCGTGCACTGCTAGCTCATTTCATCACCTAACAATGGCGCACATATCTGATCAATGAAGTGTGACGCACAGAAACGATAATACAAATAAAAATGACGTAAATCGGACAACTGTCTGGAAAGTCTCATAAATATCGTTAATATTAGATGCATAGTCACTGACTCACCTGCCTGGCGTCAACAATGGTAACGAGATACGACACATAATTTTACCCCGTCCGTGGGGTCAACAATTCCTAACACAGTCACTGTTGCGAATATACACATAAAATTCTCACGTTCACATTTTGGAAAGATTCTATTGTGAACAGTTGTGTAGCTATGGAAACAATATGTATTACATCACATTGTTAGTGTATTACAATCTTCCTGACATTTTCCGTAGAAATCAAAGAATTTGTATATGAATATACTGTAGTTGTTTGTAAGTTTTACTTTTAACTTTTGAGGAAAAGTGACGTGTCTGCCTAATACGCCACAAAATTCCAGATAAAATACATAACAAGAAACCCCTAGAAGCGAACTTGAATATCATAAAATGAAAATGAGTTTAAAAAAATTCGTGAGTGTCCAATTCGTAACGATACATTAGAAATACAGAAATGTGACAACGCCTAACGATATTGTGTGTTCTATTTCAGGTATATGTTCTCAATATTGCAATGCATTCTGGGAGTATTCATCTTGGCATTTATAATAGGTAACGGCATAATTTCTTGACTAAAGTAACAGCTGTAATATTGTATTAGAAATTATTTGACAATGCTCCTGGTATTGGAGTCGGCTGCTAAAGACCCTGTCCGTCGATACGGGACATTGTTGCATACTGTACACTCGCCCAATTCACAGCTTATATGGCGTTAGTTCAAACATAATCCGCCTTATCAGGAAGACAAACCAACAATACGTCCTGTGTAACCATGGTGACCAGTGTACGGTCATGCCGTTACCATTGCTGCAATACGTTGTTTTTTTTTTGTTATTTTCCAACAGGTCAAGTCACTCATATTGTAGTGAATAGAAATACTGGCAAAACGGAATACGAAAGAGTTTTACAGAGAACTCGATGTTTTATGCAACACCGAAAAGTTCCTAAATCAACCCAGCTAAAAGTGCAACGATTTTATGATTACGTCTGGTCAAGGTAAAATCACTACTTACTCGTTCAAATAGTTTGACACAAACATATTCCTGCCAAAAAAACGTAATATTTTGTTGTAGGAACTACCTGACCGGGATGTTTAAATCATCTTCCTATCGTATGGACATCATGACATTTTTATGCGGGATCTCCATGTCAGATCCCTGAAATTCGCATTCATTAGTAAATTAATCTCGGCCAATGGTTTTGGCTGTTCCAATGAGTCAGACACACTCACTGATGTATGGTATCGACGCATTTTTGTTGTTCAACCCCAAGTAGGATTCAAACTCCTTGTCTGTCGATCGTCGATCAGGGATGATAATTACTACACTGCCTGTAGTCGATTTGTTGTTCAGTGTAACGATTTGCACGACGTTTACGTATGTTTACATATGTTTGTTTCATTACAGTGGTCAGTTTCATATTCTGGACGAATCAGAGGTACTACGGTTACTGCCAACTGAAATGAAAACAGAACTCGCCTTGAAGGGTAACTTAATTGCGCTGGAAAAGGTGAGTAAAAACAAAGATTTACAGTTTTCTAAGGTTCTTACAGCTAGTTTATAAATACGAAATTATTTGCCCTCTTTGAGACATAGATGAAATTGAAAATGAGTTTCACTTTCTCCGTGTTTGCCCATATTACCATGAAATGCGAACCTCATACTTACCCAATACATTTTATAATACCCCGTCTTTTAAAACCTGTTACTACTCAAAATTCTGATATTTTACAACCACTGGCTACATACATCTTTCATGCATTGAAACGTAGGAACGAGATATGTGATTTTATTTAAATATTCTTCTTGTACATGTAAAGTATTTTTATTTTTTCGAATATTCGTTTTGTACGTGTAAATACTTTTATGGGCCGATGGCCTTGAATTTGTAAATAAAGACCACTACAGTTAGTTTAAAGTTCTGTAATATTTTTGTTGCTTGAATTTCTTTAGGTGTCCTTGTTTCAAGGATGCGATTCGGGATTACTTCGGGATTTGGTATTGAAGTTGAAACACCAGATGTATTCACCGGGTGATTACGTGTGCAGATCTGGTGACTTAGGCAGAGAAATGTTTATAGTTAGCACGGGGAAGCTTCAAGTAATAAGGTAGGGTAATTGTCGACTACCCAATTCTCAGATATATTTTTACAGATTTGGTTTTAAATTTGGTACAAAGGCCAGATTAATGGATTAAATATTGTCGTTCGTTATTTTTGGATTTTGTTTTTAATTAACAAACTATTATTTTTTTCAGTTCTTCCGAGGAGGAAATACGAACAATAGGGGAAGGTGCAATATTTGGTGAAATCAGTGTTCTCAATCTAAATCGAGGCAGTCGTCGTACAACTGACGTCATCTCTAAGGGATACAGCGAGCTATTTATTCTCACTAATACAGATGTTCTGGACACTTTGCAAAATTATCCGAGAGCTAGAGTAAGTTTCGTTCAAGTTGATGGGTCATTTTTTTCCGCGCTGCAAGTCACTGAGTGAGAGATTTGGGGAGCGGCTTAGTCACGGTTAAATAATAACAAGATATTACTAATTGTGTTGATGTTATGCATTCTTCCAGGATATAATTTCTCAGCAAAGTCGCAGGCGACTCCAGGAGCAGTTAAACCGAGTTCGTTCATTTGATGGGAGTGATGCTGGATTTCCAAGTAGACGGGGTAGCTCGAGGGTTTACAGAGACCCGTTCCCAGGTCGTAGCAGGAAATCGTCTGCAAGGCTTAGGAAAATCAGGTATACTTGTTTATATATGTAGTGATTGCACAAATGTAATGTTATTGGAACAAACACGACAAACTCGACTGCCGTTATTTGCGACATACTAGTAGCTGTGCTACGCCTACCGACTTCGAAACGTCGGAACCTGCTACGGCAAGTATTGGTTACTATTTAACTAGAAGTTGGCGGTTGAGTGGGCTGGGGTTGTGTCATATTCACTACTACATTACAACAAAACTCTACTATGTTACGACAAAGATCTGGTATGTTACGACAAACCTCTAGTATGGTACGACAAAACTTTAATATGTTGCGACAAAACTATGATATGTTGCGACAAGTCTCTATTATGTTACGACAAAACTCTAGTATGTTACGACAAACCTCTAGTATGTTACGACAAAACTCTAATATGTTGCGACAAAACTATGATATGTTGCGACAAATCTCTATTATGTTACGACAAAACTCTAATATGTTGCGACAAAACTATGATATGTTGCGACAAATCTCTATTATGTTACGACAACACTCTAGTATGTTACGACAAAACTTTAGTATGGTACGACAAAACTCTAATATATTGCGACAAAACTCTAATATGTTGCGACAAAACTCTAATATGATGCGACAAAACTAATATATTGAGACAAAACTCTAATATGTTGCGACAAAACTCTAATATGTTGCGACAAAGCTTGGCCACATTATTAATACGTCAGATTACGTCAAGTCGATTCTACGTTGTCGTAAAACCATTAATTTAAAACCATTACAATTCGAAAACCATTAAACAAGTGTATCACGCGACAACGGTACAACGAAACGATAGTATACAATGATAAACCCTAGTATTTCACAATAAATCTATGATATATTTACATTGTTTTTCAGTCGCACTAGTAGCAATCAAAGTCGGGACAGTGGCTTCATGTCGACGTCGGGTCATAGTACACTGTCATCTGCACCGAGTGGGAGAATTAGCATGTCGCCCATGGTAGAGGAAGTGACGACAGACATGACAGAGAGACTCCAAAACATATATGAACAAAACACCAGAGCACTGAAGTCATCGCTAGAGCACGTGTTGGTAAGAGAGGTTATTTATTCACACTGGTCAGGTACAACAGAACAATAAGTTGAGGGGTAAAGTTGTCGGGGTACATTGAATAATTGATATAATCAACATACTACATAACAGTAGCTTTATGTATATTTCGATTCAAATGACAGGTTGTGATTCACAATTAGGAACCGCCAATTGGATTTTTCCATTTTTTTGTTAAATACTATAAATTGTTTGTGTGTATAGCGCAATTAGTAATATCTCAAAATAGTCGGTTGTCTCTAGTTGATAGGTTGTCCCTGGTGTGGAAGTCGGGCACACGTTTCTGACAGTGACCATAGTTGTTCATAAAACCTAATTTGAAAAGTGCAGTGAACGAGTTAGCTTGATATATCATTCTATCGTTGGTAACAACCAACCTTTGTGGGACCATCCCGTCAAAATAGCGCAATTGCTTGATTAGATGTTGACTTCCTGACAAGTATTATTATATTTTTCAACAAAATAAAAATGAAGAAATTAAGAAAAAGACTGTAAAAAATGCTAGATTATGGAATGATCGGGACATTTCTTTGCCGTTACTTTTTCTTTTCGCGATCACAGCGCTATTTTGTATTTAGGCATTTTTATGTTTATTTTTGTTGTTGTTGTTGTTTTGTTTTTTGTTGTTGTCTTGTGTTTTTTTATTGTATTCGACAAAACAGTTATATTTGTAAGTAAGTCTAGATTAGATATCATGACGTATTTTGTTTTATCCAGGATCACGAGGTGAAATATCTTCGGCAACGTTTACATGACACAGAGATGGAACGTGATTGCAAACAAAGGGAGATATCACAGTTAAAGAATCAGATCGGCAAATTAAGAGTAAGTGTCACGTGACTCACTCTAGTCTTACTGCGTTATATCATATGTGTATCTGTTTTGAGTCTGTCGAAAATATTTCATATTTAGACATTTTGAGAAGTCAACCTCGGTACAATGAAATAAAAATACAACAACACAATGTATATATCCTGTATTGAAATATTACAAATGTTTTAATCTCGGAATCAGAACATGACCGCCATTCATAATGAAGATCTTTTGTTATTTTACCTTTTAGCATCCAGACCGTGACCACGTTAGCGATGAAAAACACGAAACCAATACCGGGGAAGATTAATCATTTAGCTAGAAGCGAATCAACTTCTATTATTTTCAAAATTGCCTTTATTACTGATTACTAATTACTATGATTTGTTCATTCTTGGTATTTGTAAAGATTGCAATACAGTTTGTTGCTTACAGTGCCCTCAACGATGAATTTCAAGTCGAGAACGGCTAAATACAACGATGAGGGCGCCTAACTAACGCCGTCCGTGTCAATCCCGCTTTGCCTTGATATATATTTATTTGTATGCTGTTGTATAATGTTATATTCCCGGGTAATAACATGGCTATTCGCCTTGAGTACTTCACATTTTCTATTGACATTAAAATAAAAAATATAAGGAGATTATTTATGAAAAAATTATAGCCAGTTTCTTGTTAGCGTAATACGCAAATTAAAATAGCTGCCGCCTGCCAACTTTTTACAATCACCTGACCAGCTTGGATTGTGAAACAGGACGACATCAACAAAACGCCACGGTTATGAAATGAAAGCGGGATTTCGAGCTTGTCTTCTTACATCCAGTGATTATGACATGATTACTATTTATTGTGAAAACTAATGTACCCAAGATTTCATTGAGTTAAAAAATAAATATCGTGATTTGTATAGAATAGCATATGTGTATTTATTTCCGTGAACGAGGACATATTTAAAAACATAACATTTGTGTATGCCGTTTCTCAGTGGTATGAGAGGTGCTCTCGTTATTGTCCAAGCAACGACTGAATCCGCTATGATTCTGGACCATCATCCACCGTGACGCCACTAACAGGCAGTAATCTGTTGAGGCTAGGAGAAGAACTATCGCGTCCCCTAAGTCAGGTCGTGCCCAAGTACAGAGCCCGAGGGCGTGTGTACCTGGTTCTCAGTCGCCGGCGATAGCGACCTATAGAGACGGGAACCAGGCTAGTTTCGCATCCTAATGGTTGTCCATGATTTAGATCACACCGATGACTAGTGTTATTAACCATATTGCAAATTGACTATTGAGCAACCCCGAGATAAAAATAATATGGTTACCCATATCAACTACTTTTCGCACAAAAATCTTGTTTACTGGTATACTGTCTATGGTGATGAGTTGTTAGGACGTGTGACACCAACACCGTGCCCTCAACATTACACACCGAGTTAACGCCGGCGGCGTGTCTCACATCATGCTATGACCGCACGTGGTAGTCACGTGTTGTAGGTCTATCCCTTTCCTAGCAAGCTCTATTCCACAATTCACCCAATAATAACATTACATGTTCCATTCAGTGTACATTGGAATTCAGAATGCAAAGGGCGTATATTCCACCAATAATAAAATTACATGTTCCATTCAGTGTACATTGGAATTCAGAATGCAAAGGGCGTATATTCCACCAATAATAAAATTACATGTTCCATTCAGTGTACATTGGAATTCAGAATGCAAAGGGCGTATATTCCACCAATAATAAAATTACATGTTCCATTCAGTGTACATTGGAATTCAGAATGCAAAGGGCGTATATTCCACCAATAATAAAATTACATGTTCCATTCAGTGTACATTGGAATTCAGAATGCAAAGGGCGTATATTCCACCAATAAAACTCCAACAACCAAACACGCAAAAGTATTTCACTCGGATAACAACATTCAACCATACAACTCTGACATTAATCGTTCACCCAATGGAAACCTTTCAAAAATTTCGGTACTTCCATATATAGTATTGATACTCTCAAAATTAGTTGACGTCATATCGTCCCCAACAGGGGGTATGAATGCCGCTAGAGTGCAAAATACTAGTGTCAACTAGGAAGATGTGTGACTGGCATAACAGCCGTTATACTAATATAACATGTTCATCTGAATGTCAGTACCCTGAACATACTTGTTCGAATTGCGAGTAAACAGACGATGACATGTACATGACTCGCGCTGTGTTCGTCGCTATGTGACCCATAGCGAAATATAAGGACGCCCTCTTTTGGTGAAGGACGGTCATAAATCACAGGACAACGTTCATTGATTTATCATGTGCATATTTTTGAAATAACTCGGGAAACAAAAAGCACCACATTATTCACAATATATAAGTTTTGAGTATTTGCATTTATGAGTAGGCATCCACCTTAAATAATGGAAATAGATCATATCAGTGACATCACCAAGTTGTGCATTAACATCGCACCGTTGCGGCCACTTTATGATTTGACATGAAATAGTTTAGAAGTTTATTGTCATGACTTCAAAAGATGATGTAATAATAAAAAAGATTGGCAACTATATTCATAATGCATTTCAATCAAGAAATAAAAATGCCATTTGATATGTAACACTTGCTTTATCTTTTTTAACAACTAACTTTCTTTTTGCAGTAGTAGTTATCACAACTAATCTTTATTGCTATTAACTGATAGAAACATTGTATTTCTAAGGATGCAATAAAGTTATTATTATTAGTATTATTATTGGTTCATCTGGAGAACGTAAAAGTAGTAAAGTCTCCCGCTGACTAATTACTAGTTTGATCTTTCTAATAATATGTATAAGCACTTAAACAAACAAAACATGTACGTTGACAAACATTGTCTCTCGTTGAAATTCGTATCATCTGAATCGCACGGTGTCACGAGCTCGATGTGAACATACTACATACAGTGGTAAGGCAATGACTATATCGGATACATTGGATTTAACACTTTCCTCACCATACCCCATCACATAAAGTGATAACACGGGAGTGGGAAACTATATTATTAGAAAAATATAAATAGTTCGTCTTTTATCTACCCCTGTTGGCTCTAATTATCATGATTCATCCATTGGAATGGATGATAACGGTTACTAAGGAGATTGAAGATGCAATAAGCTATTTTGTAAAACGGTGAATATGTCCCAAACCAACTGTTTGCACATATATGACTAAATTAAAGTAAACGCATTTACCATTAATACAGATAAACTAGTAATTACGAAGAACGTACAAATTATTGAAATGGGAAAAATGAACAAGGCCTTAGGGGCGATAGAAGTGATTTTTACAATCATATTTTACAGAGATATAAACCAATTATTACCTGTATTGAGACAACACACGAAAATATACAGAAACTAGTGCATATCAAAATTATACACAAACATCCAAGAATTGCATTGAGGGTCACAACATACTTAGTACTTGGAGAATAGACAATATTTTATGTTAAAGGGAATTTCTGCTGTACGAAAAAACAATGAATCAATGTTAATTTGTGTTAGGATTTCTCAAAAACTTTTAGTGGAGATTGGCGTGGCGATCGGAAAGTGACTCTTTTTAATGCAGGAGATTTATAGAACTTAAGTAATGAGAGTAAATATACGTAACAAGGTAAACTTCAATGAAATTGAAACAGATCATTTTGAAAAATCTGAAGGAGATAAACAGGGACGTGTCTTGAGACCATTACTTATTAAATGTTTATGAATTTAAAACTAGGTGTTGTGATAGGTGATACACTAATTCCAGAACTATTTAGGGCAGATAATATAGCATTTATTACCAACAATCCCAATGACTTGCAAAACATCCTAAGCATAGACATTATTTATGCTACAAAGTGGAAATTAGGTTTCAATCGAAATAATGCACTTAAGACAACGCAAAATAGATACAAACTGGTCACTGGATAAATTAAAATTGAAATCAACGCATATTATTCCTTAGGTGTGGCTATAACAAGATCATTAAAAGACCATGAATGCTTTAAGAAGCCCATCGGGGGCACCGATACTGAGTCTCAGTAGCGCAGCGGCAAGAGACGGGAACCGTGTCTACACAAAAGTCAGATAACAAATAATTGGTCACCCAGCTACTCTTCGCATAAAAATGATTCAGATATCCATGAATATGTAGATGTTTAAGCCGTTAACTGTTGGTTCCCATGATAAATCATTTGCCCAAATGTTGGTACTATCATGCACATTCTATGAAAGTAGCATAAAGTACAAAGTTGTGAAGCAACCAATATAAAATGGGTACTTATTCAGAATTAATAGATTTTAGTGGATGAAACTTCTATGGGATTGACGTACTAGAATGAATGGGTTATCTAGAATGAATTATCAGTGTTCACGATGACGTCATTGACTGGCCCTCTATAGGCAAAATTACGCCAGGCAAAGCGGGCGTTTGTCGTCTGCTTCATAGCCCGTTTTATACCCGATATTTCGCAGCACATACAAGTTGTTTTCATCGACTGAATTCATTCTTAGATCTTAAATTTCATGTACAGAGTAACAAAAACTAGACCTCTGCTCCCCTTTAACATAAATAAACGAAAATACATATCCTATATAACATATCCTTTTCTCCATTTTTTCATGTACTAGTATGTAGTTGGTTTTAAAAAATAGTTCGTACCGAATAAAGCATTTTGCACAATGATGAAGTCATCGACTCATGATTTTTTTTAAAAATTTGTACGAAAAAATGCTGGAGTTCACATAAGCGAAAGATTTCGAACATCAAACTCAAATTTTATTATTTCTGTTGTGCGTTGGTTATTGCTATTCTGCTATAAAAGGTGGCGAATAATATGTTAGTCCTAGTATAACTAGTAGCGGAATTACGTAGCAGTGAATCGGAGCGCATGCGTTTTTTCAGTGTTTCATCGAACGAATACTGCTATGTCACCTTCCAGGATTTAAAATGAAATATAATTATTATTATTATTATTATTATTATTATTATTATTATTATTATTATTATTATTATTATTATTATTATTATTATTATTATTATTATTATTATTATTATTATTATTATTATTATTATTATTATTATTATTATAAATTGAGGTAATGTTTTGCATTTCCTCAAGTTGTCGCGGTCGGAATTGGCGTATTTGCTTCGACAGGTCATAAGCATGAATTCAATGAAATGCTGCCCTCAGCGATAAGATGTGTGCATGTAAATGAAGAATCAGCGTACGGCGTACCATCACAGTCCCTCTATCACTATCCAAACTATTACACCATTTAGCTCCATTAGGGATGCTGATATGTTAGACCGAGTCGTTATTTGGAAATGGTTAGGGCATTGGTCAGGTATAACAATGTTAGATAGGCAGGGTTCCAACCGTTATCATACTCATCATGCTTGCGAGCATAAATATCTTACAGACTTCGATTGTGTTAAGCATGGAGGTACCTCCATGTGTTAAGTTACTATGTAATGTAAATGTGACGACTCATGCATCTATGATACCTACTAGTATTTGAGATTAATTAATTAATTAAGAATATATTGCAATCATACCTAGAACTATTCAAATATCAAGTTCAAAGAGAAACCACACCAGAAAGTGAGAAGAAAAAATACCGTAAAATGGAAACAAAGAAAGTGACATATTCATTTCATTAAATGCAAATGAGATGAAGTGCTGACTAAATAATAGACATTGATTGATTGTCCGTGACATAACAAAATAAGCAAATCTAGCAACTGCTTTGCAGATTGAAGTCATGACCTCACTCTTCCGGTTCGTGATTGGACATTTACTGTCACGTGATCAACATCTTTAACATGGCTGCTTGCTGTACAATGGGCGCAAGTCTATAAAAGAAATCGACGGATTTTAGCTTTAAAATGTCGGGCTGGAGACGAACGACCAATGCCAAATACGGCATAGGTAAGTGATTGAATGTACAATGTCACAATTTGGCAGTTTTCTCGGTTTTGCTTTCGCGCGATTGCTTTTCATTGACATGGGTGGTGTTTCACATTGCAAGTTGTCCCGTCGGAGAGACTCTACTACTTCCTTATTCGTATTCACTTCCTGTTTCAACACCCGACAAATTAATCATTGAATTTGCAAAAATATATGAAGTTTTTTCAAATTTATCATCGTATATACTATCTTGAAGAAACTGTTTATACGATGTGCAATTTTAAACTGGTCATAGTTTCCATTTACCGCCCGTTTGTCCATCGTGGTTTATCATCGAATGACATTTAACCCAGGCACACAACCTTAATCTGACCTGCCCTATTTACAAGTTTATAACGTACCTCGGTTTAATATGTCTGCATTTTTGGAAGTCTGTTTTAATTTCATCTATGCTATGACCTGAAACTGCAGATACCGATCATCAAACGGACTACAATTATTAAATTAACATTTCTCTCATACTAAAAGACTGTGTTTACTGTTGAAAGCACTTTTGAGGAGTTCGCTGGTCAAATTAACATTCCACTCACCTGCATAACTAGTCTGGTAGATCCACCACCTCAGTTTGACCAATCCTAACTATATTTATAAACATAATTTAGAATATTTGTTATTCTTTTTTTTTTCGCTCCTACACATACTTGCCCTTTTGTGCCGATCAATTTGCATATCTAATTGACTGATTTTGTCTCTCAAATTGATGCATATCAGTTAAAACCATAATTAAAAGTTAGATTATTCAGGTTATGTGTTATCTGTATATCTGAGCCAGCATGTTTAATGGGCATTATTTGACATGCAAAACGCATACACATTTTGTTTCAACGAAACAGTGAATTTTACATGTAGTGTATATGTCATGCGTTGGACTCGATCATGAGGTGCTACGGTGACCATCGCCATTAATATACAATGTAAGTTTAAAATAAGCAATTGATTTTACTCGTACAAGTATATTTTGTAGTGAAGATTGCTGTCACCTCATGATTATTAATTCATTAATGTTGCACATGCAGCTCAAGATACCTCAAGTAATCACACATACAATGTTCTAACTGTATGGATGCAAATTTATAGGGTATTTTTTATGACCACTGGTACCTAAGACACTCTAGATTTAGTGAGATAGGTAGTAAAAGTCAATTTTAAATGTAGCCGACAGCAGAATGACCCAAAATGTATACAATATCTTTTCATGATGTAAATTTACATTTCTGTGGGTGTAATAATAATAATATCTTTAAAAATAACATTTCTATCTGTGTAGTGTACACCAATAAAGTGTAACATAAAATATAATATAAAGTAGTTTAAAATGAAAAACTGTCAGGAGTCGGCGCACTCTCTCCTAATAGAAAAAATGTTGTATAAATATTCCCCAATCTGTCTGACGAAAGTTTCTTCAGTTGTACTCATTAGGTAAATAAATTTCTGCTCTTTTGTGTTTTTACTTTTTGGAAGCGTTTTCTATATTTTGTACATTCCATGAAGAAATTGTCAATACTTCCTTGTGTACAATATTTACGTTTTCATTTCTAGAGGCATTTTTCCTGTGGGTGTTAACAGAATTAACTTAATATTTGTTTGGAAATTCCTTTTAGTGATTGGAGGCAAAAATGACATTTGTGTTTGCCAAATTTAAAATAATTGAATGAGATTGCCATAAGTTAGTGGAAGCCCTGATGAAGTGAATAGGTACATGTAGGCTATAATACATGTACATTAAATCTAGATTGTGTCTGATTTCTAATGTTTACCCTTATTCATATGCAATATGGGGGTGGGGAATACAATTAATTTTCTGTTTATTTCCTCATTGGATTTAAAATAGATTGGGAAAACAATAGACAGTTTGATTGAGATTTGTGGTAATTTTCATCTGAAACATAACCTAGGGTATAATTGTGTTTTCACATGTTGCTCACTTGTGAACAGTCTGCGCGTATATTTAACTGAAATGCAAGCTGTGCTAACCACACAGCTGATTTCTTTCTTCTGCAGTATGATACACAAATATACCATTTTTTGAATTATTAAATGATTTTTATAATGTACAATTGTAATTGATCTCTGCACTGCCCGATATTATGTAATGCGTCTCACACATTATTGTGTATATTCGTCTTTGCCTCGTTACTTTGCAATAATGGGCAACATGTTGTCTTTTATTCCTTAAATACAATGTTAAATTAATTCTAGTGACATTTTTTCAATGTTGCAAAAAGCAGGTACCCAGTTATCAAACCAGGGCTTATAGTTAAATTTGTTTATTACGGCTGGCCAGTGAAACTCGTTGATTTATTGCATGTTTGTACTTCCTTTAACAGGATCTTGATAATACCATTTCCTTGTGTACATTTACCCTATAAATAGATCATACATACCTAATGTTGTCTATCATAACAGGGTGCCCAGTATTTCTTTCTCTAATAATATATGCAAAGCACATATTTAAAATTTACATAACAATTGACTGCTTGAAGTGTGGAATAAGACTAATGTCTCATTATCAAGCATTTCAAGAACCTGTCCCGGCCCGAGAAAATTTTTGATTAATTTTGTCTTCATTGTTGACTCTAGTTTTGTCTTGTTTCTCATTTTAATATAAATCTTGATTTATATAAATTGATTTCATATTTGGAAATTTACATTTGTTTGATATGATACTACATGTATACTGTAAAATACTTTATTTTCGCTTGGAATTTATTTTCGCTGAAGGAATGATTTAGTGAAAAAAAAAATCCAGCAAATATACCTTTTTCCCTATATTTTACATTCAACTCAGTCAAAAATCAGTGAAAATAAATTCCATACAAAATTACCAAAAAGTCTTTTTCAGCGAAAGATAATTCGAGCTAAAATAAAGTATTTTACAATATCTGAGTAACAGTGGATCATATACTGTAAACCACTCAATTTCACTGCTAGAAATTTGCAAAATATGATGATATTATGGCATATGTAAAGAGAAAAAGATGCTGACTCTCTGATCGTAGGACATCTACAGCATTGTTACCACTACAAAATTGAAGAATTTTCAAATTTTTGGGTGACTTTTTGGAAAACAAATGAAGCAAGAGCGCAACATGTATATGGATAACGTATTTTATAATTAGATATTATTGAAGATGAGCGAGGGTATTTGGTAGCAGATTTAAGATCTTTAATTTTTATCCAGAGGTCTTATATCTGCTACTAAATACACGAACATACCATTTATAAGTAACCTTATTATAACATGCTCACACTACAAACTTGCTGTTTATATCACGTTGTTATGTGTCAATTTCCAATTATCCCAATATTTTTTCTTGGATTATAATATGCGTCGCAAGACAAAATCAACAACATGGTAGTATATTTCAATGAACTAGCAGTAATAACCAGCATATACCATTTTTGCACATAACTGATCCAAAAATGGTTTTTAGTTGTGATTCTTTGCCATTTATATTGACTAACGAAACAGGCGACATGCCAGGCGTGTCAATGCAGCAATGTGTTCAATTTTAATGCTTTGCTAGCATTTTTGGCAATAATAATTCGTGTCGGTACATGTTTCCTTGTTTTGATCAGTTGATCCTACACCCACAATCACTATGAACAGTGCTTACAGTCGGGCGATTTCGATTCAATTTTTTAAACCAGTTTATTTAGTTTTTTGAAATCACTGGTCATCTGACCCTAGATGCACCAAATATGGTCATCATCTATAATGGTCTGTCTTAACTTTGATGAAATATTCTCTGTTACAATATCAAGTTTTTCATTGAAATTTGGCAATCTAAAAAACATTCTTTTTAATTTCATGCATTTTGTGTTCAAATATAAAATGTCATCTTGATTCAAAATGATTTTAAGAAAAAATCACCAAATTTCAGATATTCATGTGATTGTTTACTACCCATACATGGACGTAGTTGGTCACAAGTACTTCAAGACCCATATGGGACAGACCAAGCTTGTTTCCTCATAGACGACATGTTATCTTTACCCTCCAAATGTCTTCTTCACATTTTAGCTCACATTCAGTCATTATACTTGTCCAATTACACAGTCCAGTAAATTTTTTGTCCAAACTAACCGAAAACCCAACCTCTGATCCTATCCAAATGCAGGGGCTGGTGATTACTTTTGTCAAACCGCACAATCCAGTGACTAACCAGACAAACAGACTTGTTTTAATATGATAATATTATCGTTTATTATATTCTTCAAAACCATCTGTGTATGAAAATTTTTGTGGTTTCAATCCTCTAATTAAATTGGAATAAATCGCTCTGAAGTCTCATAGTAATAGTAAAACCTGGAATTTCATGTCAATGCAATCGTGGTTGTTTCTGAACATAACTATTTTTCTAGGACCCCCTACCTTGTGAGAAGTAATTTAGCTATCTAGTGTTCATGGACGAACCATTGCATACATTCTATAATAGTCAGTTGAACCAAAAACACAGGGACAGGGAATTGTCATACTGTAAAACCATTTATTTTCACTGACATTTCATTTCACTATTTTGATGTTTTTAGCCTTTCACTGTGTTTAAATTTCATGAATTTGTCACGGAAACACGGATTGTTTTAGTTTTATTGTTATTTTACATGTTGACTTGGATTTAATTTAGTGGATTTTACTTAATATCGGTGAAATCAAAACCAAGTGACTAATTAATACATTTACAGTATTTTCTTTGATGTAATTAGGATTTGAAAGCAATTTTGAAAATTTGGTGTGTAATATTGCAAGATGTCACATGCACAAAATCCAATAAAATGCTGGGATAAATTTTAAAACTGAAATGTGCTCAAGCAACACATAAGCACTGCATTAGAATATAAATGAATAGGTTTTGATTTATTTTGTTAAATCACATCACAAATGGCTTTTAGGTGGCAGGACATTGTGTTTGTTAATTGAAGCAAGTAAACAATAAAATATTTATAACGATTTTTAAACAAGAACTAGTGAGCGCAATAGTATATAAACAATAGTACCTACCAGCACACTAGTTTGTTGTGAAGTTATTCGATACAGAATGTTTTCAAAAACGGGTCACATATTAAAGGAAATATGAATGGTAGGGGACTTGCATGCCCTGAGCACATGTAAACCATGGTGGTCATAGAAATGTACATATTAATTTGCAAAACATTTGCATAATTATTTCAAATAGAAATTGTGATGAACTTACAAAATTCTATTCCATTTGAAGTTTGTCATAGTTGTTCCTTGGATGGTACCTGTTTTTCTAGTATTGTGGGGTTTCTAATCCTTCCTGAATACACAATATTCTGTATGTGGGAAGTACAATTCCCACTTTAAGGGCTGTTTCGACTATCTGTGTTTGACTCGCGTGTGCAAAGCACACAATGGGGCTCTTGTATATGTGTGTGTGTATGGGTGTCTGTTCCACTGATATCTCAAAAAACAATCATCAGATTTCAATGAAACTTGGCACATA